AATCCCTGGTTCTGCCAAAAAAAAAGGGGGGGGGGCAGAGTCAGCGCATATGCACCCTGGCTTGGTCAACTCTTTGCAGATGAACACCTTGGCCGCAGGAGCCCCTGGGTAAGCACGCAGGGGCCGGACTTTTGTCACCTCATCTCACTGGGGGTTGCCCTGTGCCCTTGCCCCGCATTTGGGTGGAACGTGCTTTGTGCTGTTGATTGTATTTTGTTTTTTCCTTGGCCTCATTCAAAAGTTTCTTTTTTCAAAGGCCTTCCTATTAGGGTGTCAGGGAATAACTCAAAACTACAGGAAATGTGTGTGCATGTGCCTCTTCTCAGGCCACAGAGATTCCACTTCTTTGTGTGTCAGTTTTCTCACCAGCAAAATGGGGGTAGTGCTGGTACCTATGCTATAAGGGATTGAACTCAGGACCTTGCACTTGCCAGGCATCTAACTGCCTTTTGTCAAGTACAAGGAGACACACAGAAAGACTGCAGCCAGCACCATGGGTCTGGACTACTCATCCATCTTGAATCCTGATTTCTTAACTTCACCTCCACTTGTGATAGGACATCTGGACTTGGAGGAACTTTGCTCCTAATTTCCACATTGATGAGTCAGAAGTAGAAAATTTGAAGAGGTGTAAGCAGAGAAAGCAAATTAAACCAGGCCTGAGAGCGATGCAAAGGCCTGATGGAGGTCGAGCCCTCCCACTCGGACTTCATCTCCTGTGACTGAACAGGCCATTGGAACGTGGTCCCTGACATCCAGGGGACATCCAGGGCAACTCCGAGGCCATAAGTGTTTGGAAGCTGTCTGGAGACATGGGCAAGCTGGCCCTCGAGGGGCAGGAGGATAGACAGAGGCAAGCACCACGAAGGAACAAGGAAGCCAGCAACCAGCCTAAGAGCAGCAACAGGGCCACCTTCTCTTGAGGCTGACTTTGTCCTGGAGGCCGCAAGAGACTGCTGCCCCTTACCTGAATGAGAACCCAGGCACAAGCCCAGTGGCCTTCTTTCTGAGCCCATCTCACAGGCCAGTGTGCAAGGGCTCTGTGGCCCCTAACCTGGGGAGCCCTCCGCCCACATCCACAGGCTCCATGTTCCCACTGTCTTCTCTCCATGCCCAAGACACTGTAGGCATGGGGTATTACTTGTTCAGCTGGCACGGGAGCCTGCCTACCAGCTGAGTGGCTCACAGGGGCACACCACCCTGCAGGCCACCTGCATGGGGACCGTGTCTCAGCACCACACCTCCTTTCTATCCCCAGTCTTCCAGGTCAAGATATTTTAAAAAAACAAAACACTTTTAAACTTTTTACAAACTTTAAATCTTTTTTTCAGCAGAGAGGGAGGGAACTGATAATCAATTCACTTTTGGTTTTTTGGTTTGTTTGTTTTTAGGAAAGCCATCTGAAGCTCAACTCTGACCATCTATGCAGTTCTGAGGTTCCCTCATGGAGATTCACAGACCCATTTGTAGGGAAGGAATTTGGGCCCAAAACTAACAGAGGGACCCTTTGCCTTTTCTACCAAAATAAGTGATTTGGCCTGAGGAAATAAATGCTGGTGATTTGTGTGAAAAAAAAATCAGAACAAAACAAAACACAACCTATTTTAGAGAACTTGAGAAGTTGCTCAGTACTAAAGGCCATGAATTCAATCTCCAGTACTGTTAAATAAATGTATATAACACAGTTAATTATTAGCTTTGCTAACTTTTTCCAATAATAATGAAAATATTGAACATTGCAGTTTATCTCCAAATGAGAATTTAAAAATATTCACTGTGCAAATGCACATGCATATCAAAGACAAGGCTATGAATAGCTTGCCGCTGTCACCCTTCCTGGGCCAAGAAGACAAGAGCAGAGATCTCACACCCCACTGCAGCACTCCATGCAGAACGTGTGAGAAGCGGGTCCACACACATCACTGCGTCTGCCAGGCTGTGTTCAGATCTCCGAGTGACACAGCGCTCAGCGACTGGTGCTAACAGCAGGGTACTGTGTCTCTGAGCAATGCTTGGAATGAATGTGTAGTATCCTTACTGCAGACATGACAACCATGAGGTACAGAGAAGCTAATTAGTTATTTTTAGCCACTGCATAAGGCATACAAGATAGGACCAAAATATGTGGTTAATGTTGGAATAAAATAAGTGTACTACAGCAAAAGACACATGGCTGTTGATGCCTTCAAAATCCACCCCTCCCAATGCTCCCTTCTGACATTCTTAGCCATCATTCTTCCTGCACTCTGAAGCAGTTCTGGAAGTCCTCGTTCCTGAGGGTTTTCATTGGGTGTGGTCAAAAGAGAATGTGGCGGCCGAGATGTCTTCAAAGGAAAGGAGGACCATGAAAATGTGACAGGATGCCTTATCTACCCCACGCGCCAGCCACAACACCCTACAACTTCCAGCTCTTTCCCAAAGTCAGAGCAACCCTGCAGGGAAAGCCGCAGAAGCAGTGCGGGACATCAAGGCAGCCAGGACAGCACAGCTCATGACACTCAGGAAAGAGGACTCCAGAGCAGCTGTGGAAAGAAGCATAGAGTATGGGACAAGAGTGTTTGAAGCAAGGGGTTCTGCTTAGCAGAGGCCATGCAATGGTCTTTGAAGTATGTGCCAATATAAACATTCAGTGATGTTTTGGGTCACGCTACATATATAATGTAAAACATGTATTTGATAAGTACATATATTTTTCAATTTATAAAGATATATTCTATTTAAAGCATTAAATGACATCACAGCTAAAAATAACAATGACTATATAAAGTATGTATTCAACTAAATTAGACTTTTGCCTGGATGGCAAATGGCATAGGGTCTCGCCAGGAGCATAAGGCCACTTGCTGGAGTCATCAGTTCTAGTCCAGGCATGGTGGTGCACCTGAAATCCCAGCACTTGAGAGGCTAGAGCAAGAGGCTCCTTGTGAGTGTGAGACCAGCCTGCATTACAAAGTGAGCTCAAGGCCAGCCTGAACTGCACAGCAAGACCCTGTCTCAAAAAGACAATAAAATAAAATAAAATAAATTTAAAAAATAAAGTTATCATTTCTGGATTTAGCCTTGAAAATTCATGTATTTAAAGCTGCTTAAAATTCTAAAGATTCATTTGAAAACATTACAGATTTGTTTTAAAACATTTAACTTAGTGAATCATGTTTCCTAAAGACATATGAAAAATATACTCTTTAACAATCAATACAAGGTAAGAATAACGGGGAAAATTTTTATTATTTTTATAGGTAGATACAGGAAGAAAAACTGGAATATAGAGAGAAGGTAAGGTAGGCCTCCAGCACTGATAAGCCTCAGAATAACGGCACTTCATCCCTGCAAAATCTCCATACAGAGGAAACTCAATTTAGATTTGAGACTGGAATAAATAAGACTGAGGAATAATTGGTTAATATGGAAGAAAAATAATAATACTGGCAGAAAATATATACATTTCTGCAGGGTCGTGATGACTAGGAAAAATGACTGCTGCATTTTCACTATTTATCCTGAAAAACGAATTTTGGCATTGATCTAATGTATGATGTTAATTGGCTTTATGAGCTGGAGGGAACTAAAATAATTTTCAGCAATAACTTCTCAAAAGGAGCTCACAGATTTTAAGATTTGATTCCAGGATTTCGATAGTGCTTCAAGTACAGTCTACATAACAATAAAATTATGAAAAAATTATCTGTCTCTAGCAAGTGAAATCCCTTAACCCTAAATGCAAAAAGGAAAGCATAAGACTCTTGGTTGACTTGTTTCCTATGAAAGTGTGGAGGAAAATCGCTCAAATTGGAACAGATGGCTCAGAGTCTCTAACAATGATTAAAACAGATGAACAATCTCCTTGTATTTTTTGTTATAGCAGGGCTTTAAAAAAGTTCAGCAATCCACTATGGTGACTTACGGCCTGCACACTGATTCATGCATTGATGCATACTTTTGTGGATACTTATATTTGTATTTTCTGTTGCTGTACAGTGTTCAAGAAGCACAAAAATACACAACACTTGAATGAAAATATAGGAAATCATTCAATTTTAAATTTCCTTAGCTTTGAAAAATTCACCTTTTCCTCTCTCTTATTTTAAATCATTATATAATATATATGAAAAGGTGAATTTATATATATATATATTATATATTTATATATATATGTCTGTAATATAAAATGTTACATATTGTTACCAAAATATATATATATATATATATATATAATATATATATATATATATATATCTGTAATATAAAATGTTACAATTGCTCCAGTGTTTTAAGCTCTTGGCTGACAAAGGAGGACAGGAATGATCAGGTTGGAGGAGCGGTCGGAGTCAGAACAATCAATACACAATATGGGATTCTGATCTGGATTCTGACTTGGTTAAAACAGTTGGACAAACCTGACATATGTTTTAATAATATGTCAATGCTAATTTCTTGGGGCAAATTATTTGATTGGAATTAAGTAGATTTTAACATTAGAGAAGTTGGACAAAGAGTAAGCAAAAGACTCTGTACTACTTTCTGAAGTCCAGAATAATTTCAAAATGGAAAGTTTAAATATTCTTCCATCAGCTCTGGTTTGTAAAAGGACACAAACAATTAAACAAAAAATCAGTGTAACTGATCATGTTTGCATTGGGTAAATACAAGTGAGTTTATTTCTTAGAAGAAGCCAAGATAGTTTTTTACTTCCTATATAAAGACATGTGACGTTTCTAAAGCTGCTGGCCAAATGACTTCTCAGAGCAGTAATTATGCAGCGCTGCAGCGCCATGCAGGAAAGGCACGATCTGGATACGTACCACTGGAGGCTCTCCATGCAAGGGATCATGCTGTCAGCGTCTTCTGTGCTAAGATGGAAAGCCTGCTTATTGTAGACATTTTCCAAACACAATTTTTATCTAAAAAGTGGTTTTCTGAAGTTTAATTAGTCGTTTAAGCTGGAGTAAAAATTCATATGTCACTCTGAGACTGGAACAAAAGGATTCAGTTTCCTTTACCTGAGACGGTGTGATCCTTGGAGTCTCTCGCTATTTTTATCCGGGCGTGGGGGAAGATGTAGTGCACGGCCTTCCCGTTCATCTGTAAGATCTGAGACAGACATGCAGCACAGTGAGCACCGGTGACAGATGCCGCCCTACCCAGAGTCGGGCGTTTACTAAGCCTGCAAAGAGGGACTAGAACACTCTCAAGTGGTGCCATGTACGACTGCATGTAGTTCTGAGCTTGTTATGGCCTTCACAGTAGAACCGACTGCTCGTGAAGACAGATTTGTTCTCCGGGGAAATGAGTGTGTGTGGCAGGCTCTGAGAGCTGTCTGTGAGGACAGCAGCGTGTAGTCAGTAGGGATGAGTGTGCAGTGGTGGGAGCGAGGACTGCTGGGAATGGCGCGGAAACCCACCAGCTCCACATTGCACTCTAGAGAGCTAGAGAGACGAGTTTAACTTCCAGCAACTCCGTGGGGATTGTGGAGAAACCCAGAATTCAGCGGCACTGACTCTCTGTCACAATAGGTATGAAGAAGCGCTTTATGTTTAGAGCACTTGACTCACTGGGAATCACCCCGCTGAATACGTCTACGAGAGCAATCAGTGTGTGCAGAGTGAAATTGTACGTGAATAAACGAGGCCCTTTCTAATTCTTTCTGAAGCCACCTCTGCTCAGTGGTTATGTTAGCTCTGACGGCGGAGGTTCCTGAGAGGAAGCAGTGACACTTATGGCTCCTGTTGCAGCAATCTGCGCTCTGACCATGAGGACCTACACAGGACCGTGCCGTAGACTGTGCTCTCGCCTTCCACAGGTGAAGCTGTGCTCCTGAGGGGAACGGGCCCAGAGCCCTGCGTTCGACCCCCGGGACCACCAAAAAAGGAAAAGGAAACCAGGAAATCGAGGTTTAAGTTTTACACGTTGCTTTTAAGTAAGATTTGTGAAATAATAGAAGTACCAACACTGAATATTTAACACATCTGTAAGTTTATGAACAGGACCGCATCAGTATGGAATCTTGCATCTGTTATTGCCTTAGGAAAATTTTTGACTTAAGTTACGAAGGAAACAAAACTTAGTAAATATGAGTATTTACCAATACCTATTTTAAAATAAATTTGAGAATTATGTGGAAATATTATTCCAAGATAACAAACAGTATTTGGAATTAAATATTTGTATATATTATGGAGACTGGCTCCTAAGAAAATGTACGTGACCTCAATGTAATCTAGTAAATCTAGTGGTAAAATTATTAGAATTATTGACATTAAAAGTAAAATAGATACTGAAGCAAATGCAAGTTAAAGTTATAGCCTTAGCCTTTATTCTTCTTATGATTAAATAAGCTACTAAGATCTGAGACAAACATAATATGCTTCCTAAACAATAGTGAAATCTTGCTAAGTGCAGGAATGTTGCACACATTTTCCATAGCGAAACTACTGCTTGCAGCTTATACAACAGCACAACTAGCAAATCGGTTGCCTACACCAGAGCTAACTCCCTAGGCCACTAGTCTTAGGCGGGCCCAGCAGAACTGAGACCCCTCTTGCCCTGCCCTGGCTCCTGCCCCTGCTGCCCCGCCCCTCTGCCCCCTGCTCCAGCGTTTCCCTCCTCTGCTCTCCTCGTGGCCCCTGGATCTTCCTTCTGTTCTCAAATCTGCATTTAAGGGTTTTTGTTTAACTGAAAATTATACCACTTTCATTGAAAATTCTGCAATATTACACATAAACGAACTTGCTTTGGTACTGTAATTTGGTAAACTTGGTGCACATTAATCATGACAGCTCAAGCATCTTTTAACTTCACGTATCATTTAATGACAATTTTCTTAAAAATCATCTTTCCCTCACTTGGTCAAGAATGAATTGAGAAAACACTATTTTGCCTTTGGTCGTTTTTTCCACTTTCCGGATTGGGCACAGCACCAATACAATGTCCTCGTGCATCTGTTGCACGGTTAGGAGGGTGGCTGAGTTTCCTAGTTCCTTGGCTTTATCAGCTGGCCATTATCTCCTCCTAATTACTGACCACAATTATGTGAGCACAAGGAACCATGCACATCTTCATTTGCACGAATACTGCTTTCACAGTGTCTCCACACGATTCCCCATAGTTTCATTGGCTTAGGTTTTCTGCAACAAGCACCTTGCACTAAATAGATTAAAAACTTTCAGGCCGGGAAGATGGCTCAGTAGAATAAGTGCTTCCCTGGCAA